AAAACATTTTATATTAATGGAAAAAATAAAAGAAACAAATCAAACTACGGATATTCAAAAAAATTAAAAACAGAAGAATTAAAAATAAATTAAAAAATGTGGTAAAAATTGGAACCCGAAAAACTTTTATTTAAAACTCAACTTTTTAATATTGATGACACCGTATAACAAATGACCTCACTTCAATCCCAATTAGAGACATCTTGTGAGCAGAAGATTATAAGCCCTCATTGCAAACGAAAATCTTTTTAACATTATCAATTTTTCTTTCAAATTGTCAAAACGTATCTGGTATACGTATATGGCTGACTATTTATATGGCCAGTTTTAAAAGTAATTTTGCTTATTTCTTAAACGATTCTAAACTTTAGAATAGTTTTACAAATATAAATTACCGACCTACAAGTCAAGCTTGGGTAGACATAAAAGAAATTGGTATAAAAGAAAAAGTAAATTGCATATTATGTTGACTACGATAGAAAACGATAGATTCGTTAAACTTATAACGTGCAATTTTTGTTTATTTGACATGATCGTAGAATTTCTCACCTAAGCTAAAATGTAGCCTATTAAAGGATTAAAAAATATTAAACCGATGAAGGCACTAAGACGGCATGCATTACTTTCACAACATTTTGTGTTTTATTGACTTTCAATTTTATAATAAATCTCCAAAATTCATTATTATTTTTTCATATTCATTTCTAGTTAAGTTCTATTTAACAAAATTTTAGCCACGCAAAAAACGTCAGGTATTGATTAATTTGCAGTAATTTGATACAACAAATCTAGACGCGAAAATGTTTGCGTAAGTTTTTATTACAAATTTTTCAACACACACAATTATATTCAAAAAGATCATTTTGATCATGTCGATTTAGGACTATTTCATTTCATCTAGGAAATAACGTCAGGTAATAATATATTTGCAGTCTTAATTAATTAATAAATAAAGGAATTCTAGACACTAAAAGTTGAACTTGCGAGATTTATGACAATTTTTCCACTAAGGAACACAGACTTATAAAGTAGATGATTTCGATCACGTCGATTTAGGAATAATTCATTTAATTTAGCAAATAATGTCAGGTAATAATTTATTTGCAGTCTTAATTATTTCATAAAATAATAATAAATTTCATAAAGGAATTCTATACACCAAGAATTGAAATTGCGAGATTTATTACAATTTTTCCAATTACAAACACAGAATTACATTCAAGTAGATGATTTTGGTCACGTAGATTTAGGAATAATTAATTTTATTTAGCAAATTACGTCAGGTAATAATTTATGTGCAGTCTTATTTATTTCATAAAGAAATTCTAAACATCAATAATTGAACTTGCGAGATTTATTATAATTTTTCCAATAACCAACACACACGATTATATTCAAATAGATCATTACGATCACGTCAATTTAGGACAAATTCATTTCTAAAAGTTAATTTTTTACCCAATTTTATATTCGATTTTATCGTGCAAGTTTAATTCGTAGGCAACAATCGTAGCAGTGTTACTAAGAGAACACATCTTGTATAACATTTATAATTTGGCAACACTGCTTCAATGGTTGCTGGCTATCATTATCGAGGCAGTGACCCGTTAGTCTATTACAAAATCGGTTCAAAGTGTCATAAAAGCCAACTATAGTAAGAGTATATGATGGTAATTTTAAAGCATATTTTATTAGTGGTGCACGAGTGCGGCGTGCAAAAAGCATCTGTGGGTTTTCATTAAGAAATGATCCACGTCGAAATATACACGAATAACAATAACTAACCGTAATACTTCTTAGTACCACAGCCTAAAGTTGTACGATTTAGAATATACTTTACATTAAGCCTTAAATAGCTAATAAAGTTTGCCTATAAATTTTCTTACTTCGTTGGCACTAACGATTTCTTTGTTCCGTTGCAAACAAGGGAATTACACGAATACTAAACAAATGGGATTTCATTCTTTTTTGTATCCCACAAGTTTAGTTCGTACAAACTTGAAACAAATTAAAACGTGAAAGGTCTCGAGAGCCTCCAAACAGATCTCTAACTATATGCACATTAATTATATACACAACAAAAATAATTATATTAGCTTATACGTTTGTTCTTACACCATAGCGTCAAAATTGTTCGATCGTGGACGAAAAATTTCGTACTGAATGTGACATTACTCGTTGCATAAAACAAAATCACAGAAACACCTGCATCAGTTTACCTTTGAGTGATATTGCATCTAGTTATGCATTTCACAGAATTAGAAGCTTTGCTTGCTTATATCTCGGCGAGGAGCTCCGAATAGTAGTGCGTGGCGCTGAGGTAATCTAAAAGACGTCTCGGCAGTGGCAGGCTGCTGATCAGGTCGCGCCGGACGTATTTTAAAATTACGAACCTGAAAATATTACAGAGAATTCACATTTGATATTATTAAAATAATTTACCGCAGGGGTGACAACGCATCTGCATTTTGATTTTTAATAGAGGACAGATGTAGATGTTTACGGGCCACAGCCTTTTTTTTATAGGATAGGGTGACAAACGAGCACACAGTCCACCTGATGGTAAGTGGTTGCTGCGGCCAAACATCTACATCTATCCTCGATTACGAATCAAAATGTAACGCTCTCACAGAATACCAGCGTCAAATAGTAGCTTAATGCTGCTGTGTTTTGTATGGTGAGTGTAGAGAACCGGATACCCTTTTAACTGGAAACGAGGCATTCCATCTAAGTCCTCAGGGGTGACAAGGCAACTTTTGAATTATATTATATATTCAACAGTATTTTGATCCCCAATCGAGGATAAAAGCGCCTTGAAATTAGAGGCGTGAGGAAGCGCTGCGGAAGTGCTACATAAAAGAAGCGCTACAGTGGCGCGACTGTGCCGCAGTAGACGCGCGTCAGTAACGCTTCGGTAAATTGTAGTGATGTTTGTCAGTTTTCGAAAAAATTGCAAATTTCAAAATACATACAAATAAAAACATGCTACTTTTTCTTCAGCTATTTAGCATCAGTTTGTAGCCTTACAAGTTTACACTACTTTTATCAACGAGGACTGTCAACCAAATGGTTGCGGGATTGTGAATGAAACATGTCAAATAATATTCTAAATTCTAAATGCTAGTTATATCCCGACACTAAGTCAAGATGACTATCGCAAATGGATTCTTCAATAAATCCAACTTTCCCAACTGTTTGGGTGCCATAGATGGTAAACATATACGAATCATCCAACCAGAATACTCCGGGTCTTCGTATTATAATTATAAACATTATTTTTCTATTGTCCTTTTAGCTGTATGTGATTCTAATTATTGTCTCACCTATATAGGTGTTGGGCCTTACGGCAAAGCTGCGGATTTACAAATTTTCAAAAATAGTGTATCTGGTCATGTAGAAAGAATGAATGAGGAAAGAGTGACAAAGAAAATTTATGGTGCAGAAGTGAATGGCAGAGTCGGAAAGGGACGTCCTAGGCGAAAATTTATCGACCAAATTGGCGATTTATTGTAAACGGGCCAAATTAGGAGTACCCTTAACCGACGAGCATGTATGCGTAGGTATATGGATGTGAAGGAGGCGAGATAGGTGTTTTAGGATCGTGCCAAATGGAAGTCTGTAGTCTCTGCCTACCCCTCTAGGTGACAGGCGTGAGTGTTTATGTTATGTATGTTTTATGTTATGTCTTTTATAGAGAATTTCAGGGAAGAAGAATTGACATCCCAAATAGTGCATCGATTGATAATAATGGAGGTTCAATATAATTAAAAGCGTGTCACTTCTCTACGCAAAAATGACGTGCGTGTGTCACGGTAGTGGCGCTGCAAATGCGCTTCTAGAAGTTGTATAAAAATTAGTAGTGGCGCGGCTAGCGCACCACAGTGGCGCCACTGCAGCGCTTATTCTGGCTATGGACCACAGTACACTTTTTATATGAGGTGAACTGTGTGCACGTTTGTTCTCTTTATTATATACAAAAATAAAATTGTTTATGAGAAATTTTTACTGAAAGTAGGCGTTTCTTCCTCGGGGTTCATTTGGGTGGATTGGATATCAATTTCTTTTCAATTTCTGTCGCCAAATAGCAGTGTCTGCACTGCTGTGTTCTGATATAAATGGGTGTAGAGAGCCAGTATAATTACGGACAATAAGGAAATCCAACTTTAGTCCTGCTGTCCACAGCAGCAAGCCAGTAGGTAGTTTTATAAAAGAATGTTTTAATCTGAAATATAAGTATGGATTTATAAGACACGCTGATAGCGTGTAATTGCATACGACGATCCATTAGCAATCATCGCGTGAATGTCGTAAGAGGCCATTTAGAAGTGCCGGGAAGATCATAAGGTGGCAGTGATACTTAGACTGGATAAGAGGAAGCGGCATAATAGTATGACACGTTTGGTACAGCGATGGTGATAATTTTTTCACACCATGGGAGAATTTATTTAGTGCCTTTTTGTATGTACACGAAGTTTATTCAAATTTTAAGTACGTACTAATTATCACGTGTTCGGCGATAAAGTAAAAAATATGGGAGAACCTATGGTCGTATTATGTCACGATACCGCGACGCATTGTTATTACGTTTAAAAATATGGGCCAGGATTCGGTATAATATAAATAATTAATTCGGATAATAGGTACTGTTACTGACATCACACGTATATAATTAAAAAATCTTCTGTAAAACTAAGTTATATTCTTTACTAAGCTTTATTAAGCTTAGGGGCAAAACCGAGCTGTTTATGGTGCTTACTTTCTAGTCGGTGCATTATTTAAAACCTGTATCCAGCTGTGAGTATAGGGAAGTTAGTTTTATATCATAGTACTGATCTAAAATGAAGCACGAGGACACTCTTCACTGATAACGAGGCGTTCCGCTTAGTGTTCAGGGATGACAACACATTTGCATTTTATTCTTAATCGAAGATAGATGATGGTGGTTGAAGGTGTCTGTGAGTCACGGCAACCACTTACAATTAAGAGGACAAAAAAATCGCTCACCGGCACATATGCTGCAAGCTTTGTACGCGTTTGAAGCGCGACACAGGGTACAGAAGTTGGACGCGCACAGGTCCAAGCACGGGTCGGAGGTTCAGAAAGAATAGGTAGCGCCCAGAGCGTGAAGTTTCAACAGCGTTCTCAATGAACTCCACGATCGTCTGCGCCTTAAACATCGTGCATCCGCCGAAACAAAAGTTCCCTACAAAACAAGACATAATAATTTTAATTTAACAACGAACAACGCAATGCTTTTTGAAAAAATACAATTATTCGGTCATTGTAACAAGTAAAATAATGTATAAACGCTAAAATAATACCCAAGTAATTATATTAATTTATTCATGGTTGAAATGGAAATACACAGTATATATATATATATATATATATATATATATATATATATATATATATATGGGTTCTCGAGTAGTATCCTTGTACCGGTAGTCGAAGTGTAGGGTGACCTATTAGATAGGGTAAGAAATGTAAGAAGGCGTTGGATGCAGGGGGCTCAGGAGCATGCTTTGTGGCATTCCTTGGGGCTGTTGTTCAACAGTGGACTTGCGAAGAGCTGTAATAATTTTATTTACTTCTAGCGTAACCAATCGTAAACCCAAGTGTGGGGCGACGCCCCACTAGATGGAGTGACGACGGCATATGGCTCAGAACCGTGCTTCGTGGCGTTCTTTGGGGGAGGCCTATGTTCAGCAGTGGACTTGTGAAGGGCTGTCCCTGTAATGATAATGATGATGATGATAACCCATAGTCGTCTCTTATGACTCACACATGACTGAATTCTCCTATGTCGCTACCACATGGCAATTCTCGTATATGATTGATGGATTTAACAATTATAATATGTGTATTTTTAAAAGATGCTCACACATTTAAAGAGTTAATATCTATCAAAATTTGGATTTTTGTGTACATACCTTTATATATAAGTTTGCTATATATATAAAATATTTTATTGTATTTGTGCATTGTTAGAGCAAAAATAAAATCTCCATCCAAAATGATGTTGACACATACTTTTTTAACCTTATTTTTAAAACTGACACAAAAGAGACCCTCTGTTTTCTTTTATCCGTAGATATTAATAAGCACACTGTATACAGCTTACCCTGATCATGTTCTATCCGGACGTGGCGCAGCCCGTTGAGTTTGAAGGTGAGGGTGAAGATATAGTGGTCATCACTACTGTCGCGCACGATGAACGATCCATCTGGTTCGTTGGATAGGATTTTCTCTGCAGCCTCCACCGATATGGGACCCCAATACCAGGGGTACTGAAAAACGAAAAATGACACGTGTAGTGATGTTATTTTGTAGCCATATTCAGGAAAGGAAAACGTTAAAATTAACCGGTATTTTTTTATTTGCTTTAAATGGAGGTGACTTAGATTTTTGACGTAAAGGCATATTTTCATACAAAATATCATATAGTCTTACATAAATTTCAATATTTATATCATTACAGATCCAGTATTATATTAGTTGATGAATTTTATATAAATTGAGGACTAATTTTTTAATTTATACCTACTCTTATAACCTGCTACGAAAGACAAGTGGCTTATAGTTCTAAAAGAATAACCACTTGCACTTACCTTTTGGTATAGTAAAGGTTGTGAATGGCAATTATTTTTTTTTTCTTTATCCTATACCTTTAAACGAGCAATTCTTGTATATGTATATATATATAATCGGAACCTCGGAAACGGCTCCAACGATTTTCGTAAAATTTATTGTCCAAGGAGTTTCGGGGGCAATAAATCGATCTAGCTAGGATTTATTTTTAGAAAATGTTTTTTGTCCGTGTTTTCAGGCAATGAAAAACTGCTGCAATATAAGAAGGTAAATTTTGATACTGTGTTAATGATCGTAATAGCTCAAGTGGATAGCGAGCAGTCGCTTTTTTCTCCTTTTTTTTTCCTTTTTTTATCAAGTTCCCTTCTTTTGTGAGAAAATCTATTATTTCGAGCCCTTTTTTTAGTATTTTTTTAAAATTATGAAAATTTTAATTAAACTAATTGCACTCATGATTTTTTATTCAAATAACCAGTTAAGTTTATAAGAAATAAAAAAAAAAAAACCAGGAAAACCGCCCAAATTGGGGTCTCCCAAGGTGTAGATATAAGAGAGCCGCGATAAGAGGTCAGCAGAACGACCAACAGGAAATGTGCATGATCCTTCACATCCGGAGTCCGTGTGGGTGAAGTGACTAATTATGTCCGACCAAATACTAAGAAAAAGTCATAAACGGATCTACCCGTATGATAGGTAATACGAGAGGTTCGTGGTGGGCATTAAAAGCGCACAATCGCTGCAGATGGGATTTGTTCTAGCACGGAATCCGTAGCCATTTGGACGTCGTCGATGTATGTCTCGGCCATTATAACTGTGGGATCTATAAACCACATAAACACGGAGATGGTCGTCGATATCAGATAAGCATTATACTTCTCGTAAAATTCTCTGTCATACAGGCATAGTAGTAATTTTATCGAAAACAATGCACGACATATAAAGTCCAATTGACAGCAATAAAGTAGCGTAAAGAATGTGTCTACTCACGTCCTTGACTTTCTGTATGGAGGTGGCGAAGTCCATTATCGTATCCTCGTTGTTGGTACGGCGCGCGTGTGAAGTCTGAGGCGATTGCGGTAGAGGCGGCAGGGCGCGTCGCACTGCAGCTGGTGCGGAACTCGTGACCGCCCGCTCCGCTCCCGATACCGCTGTCGCCACCGTCCCGGCTTCCTCCGATATCGTACGCCGCCACCGAAACAAGTTGCAAAAACTCTGCTTCAAGTTCATTGATAATATCCTTACAGGCGACATCTTCGCTTTAACATTAGACGTCTTCTTGCCACTCTTTTCACTTTTGTCCACCTCAATGATATCTTTTGGGATGTTTTCTTTATGCTTCTTGTTCTTCGCAGTTATCACCACTGAGTTCTTGTTCGTATTCCTATGATTGTTATTCGTCTCTACTGTTCGGGAGACTTCGTTGTTCTCCTTCAGGAATACAGCCGCGTTACTTTCATTGTTTCTATGTCTCACGTGGATACCGACGTTCGTTATTATCGTACTACTCTTTTTGTTGATAGTGTTACGACATTCAGATTCACTAGAGCTGGAGTACAGAGTGTGCAAGTACTTTCTCATCTCACGCAATGTCAAATGTAGGGAATCTGTGTCAGAATCGGTGGTGCTTTTTTTGCACGAAGAGCTTGGCAGGCTGTGCCTCTTTGTTTTTGCGTCTTTTTGTCTAATAGAATCCTTCGGCTTATGATTTCTTTCGGACGGTGCAAAGTTACTGCCTATGTTCTGCGGCGTGCTCTTGCCGCGTCTTTTGTTTGGTCTTGTTGTCTTTTTGGGTTTCCCTCTGGTAGTGCTGTGGCTGGGTCTAACCATGTCTATGGGGACTGCGTAGATATCGCTGTCGAACGGGACGTTGTACATATCAGTTATGTCGGATGTTTTAGCAGAGAGCGTATCGTGTGATATCGCTTGGGTGATGAAGCTCGAGTCGTCCGCTTGGAACTGCGTGATGAGTGAGTTATGACTGCTGGAGAGACGAGACGAGAACGAATTTCGGGAAGATGGTCGGTTACCGCGACACGGACTCAAATGTAAAAGCCTTGGACTAGCGAAGCGATGGTTCAAGCCTTGGCGCCGCTCATATAACGACTCCGGCTTAAGTTTCCTCGGGTACAAAGGTGAGACATGTCGCGCGGGCATCGCCCCACCTAAGGCCACTGACGTTATTTTATTCGTGGCTTCATCGGTAGTGACTATACTAGGTGGCACGCATATTGTCACGCATTTATCAACATTGTTGGGTGGGGCCGGATTGTCCTGAAAATAAAAAGAATAAATAATATTTATTAATTATACTCATTATATTAAGTTTAACGACTCCGAATTTTTTAATTTCGATATGAGTCTCGTCAACTGACGTCTCGCTATACATCTAAAAGTAAAGTTGCAGCCTATAGACGTCTCACAGCTGGGCACAGGTCTCCCCACATTTCTGAGAGGGTCAAAACGTTATACTCCTAACTACTTATAATACAGCATAAATCATTATTATCATGACGTTGTCATAAAGACTTTAAAATTGTAACTGAATATTTTTTATCGTTCTGTATCCGATGTAATCCTTAACGCAATGGAATGGGAAAACAATTCCGAAGTGTGATACAAGACACAGAAACAAGGTAAAACACGTCTTATGATTTATATCAGCATTTGAATCTGAGATCTATTTCATCAAATTAGCACACTGAAATCTGATGAAGTAAAATCAGTTGTCAATAGCGCGGGGGGTATAATAATGAAAAGTATAATACTATACCGTAAATATTTGAATCAATTCCAGGTAGCGTTTTTCGATTATCAGGGCATTCGCTGTATGCGAACATTTTTACCGTTACCGTTACAGTCCCTTAATATCCACCGCTGAACATAGGCCTCATAGGTGCGATGTGTGCCATAGTTGCCAACGCTTGGCAAGCGGATTGGCAACCGCAGTGTTTATTTTTAGTCGTTATTAGGAACACGCTGCTGCCCATCTCCAGATTTGTTTCCCTCTGTCGCCTCTAACGACACCCACGGGATGATATGGGGTAGTGGTTATTCTAAACTACACCATGTAGTGGCGATGTAAAAATAGCATGTGGACTATTTTAGGAAACGAAAAAATACATTTTTATATTTAGTGACTTGAGTAATTAGCGAGAAAATTCAACACAGCCATAAAAATTGTGAATAATCCTAAATTTACTGGAGTAGTAAAAAACACAACAAGGATTTAATCGTCCCGGATCTATTATGATGATAATGCATTGTGAAATTTTTGAAACCCGCTGTGGAAGTCATTAGTTAATGATTGAACGAACAGACATTCGGATAAAGGTCTTCGACACATGAACATGTTTGGAAGATGGATGCTACCTGAAGAGGGTGATACTTTAAGCCATTTAGAACATATTTAACAAAACTTGTCTTCAACTCAACTCAATCATTTCTTATATTTACGCGAACACTACACATTGATTAAAACTACTTTTACGGATTTTATCGCGTTTATTTTACTTTTAATTACTTTTATTTTTAATTCCCGACCATGGGTGCTGGAAAGCGCCCGAAACGTCGGGAATTAAAAATAAAAGCAAGTAAAAGTAAAATAAACGCGATAAAATCCGTAAAAGTAGTTTTAATCAACTCAATCAATTCTTTTTTTTTAGTTGAATTTCTAACGTGATAATATAATAATAAATGTGACCTTTATCCGAATGTCTGTTCGCTCAATCATTAACTAATAACTTCTACAGCGGGTTTCAAAAATTTCACAATGCGTTATCATCATAATAGAAAAATAATAACATAAAAACTGTTACTGGATACTATTATCAATCAATTGAAAAAAAAGATTTTATTGTTAAATTGTTAAAAATCTTAGATTTAATTTAAAAAAAGGAGCGGACTTCGTTTTAGACAAGTTTTTATGTCCCAAATGATTTAAGATGTCATCCCCTTCAGGCTGACATCCTGTATATGTGGTTATACAAAAGTTCTAGTAGTGTAAGGGAATCAATTAACAATATCAAACAGTTTAATTATTTACCCCGTGGTTAGGCTAGGATTGCTTATTATTCACTTTAAACTACTTTGTATAACATGCATAATACGTAAACTCTCATGGACTTACGATTCTAACACACACTTCTCTCTTATTTTGCATCCATAGTATCTATATCTACGTTATCTCTTTGACTGGTTAAGGGTAGTCTAACTAACGAGCTTGTATGCGGAGCCTTTGTCCATATTCGATGTTACGCCAATTTGGTCGATAAACTTCCGTCTAAGGCACCCATTGTCAATTTTCGTCCTATCATACTCACTTTAATTGGATAAATTTGCTTTTTTTTACTCTTTTCTCATTCTTTCATCAAAGACTTACTTTTCCTTTCATTTCTAATTCCTATTTTTTTTTAAACCATACTATTAATATGCACTGTAAAACTTGTAATCTCAAATTTCGATAATTTCTTGCTATTTAAAGCCGCTAAATAAATTTATAATTTTTATTTATTTGTAATTGTAAATTGACCGTGTAGTGGCGATGTAAGAATATCCACTACACCGCCGCAGGTGTCTAGAGGCGAACTCCTTAATAACAACTAGAAAATAAACTGTGGCTGCTAACCCGAATGCTAAACGTGGCAACTATGGCAAATATCCCTACTATAAGGCAATATATGTAATCTATGTCCAGTGGTCTTTAATAGGTTGTAATGAATCATAAAAGAATAAAGTTAACACAAATCTCAATCTCTAGCAAGACCGAAAAATACACATACACACAATACACGTGTAAAAGTTCTAATGAAGGCTTTGAAAAATAACCATTAGAGTGTAGTCTAATACAGGGTTATTTGCAACAAGTAATATAGGCAAATAAAAAAATCTCAAACATTCTGTTCTTTTTATTTTTTAAATTCAGAATGCGTCTAAATACGTTATTTTAATTGATTAACTTTAGCCGCCTCTACACATACACTCTTTGATGCGTGAATCGGCTTTCGCGTGAGAATAATCGCGCGTGTAAAGAAAGAAAAGGAGAACGAAAAAGCACGTACGCGCCGCCCGCTCGCGTATCTCCTCCTCAGTCATGCGTTCAAGACTCTGCGCTTCAAACAATTTACACTTGTGTTTAAAACACTAGTCTTCCGAACGCGCGTTTAACAAAACTGCGTGATACTCCAGGTCGCGGAAGTTTCTCGTACTGAATTATGCGCGATAAGCCTTTACACGACGCTCTTTCCTCTCTGGATAAAATTACAGTAGTAATAGCGCGCGAAAGAGTCAATGCACATAAAAATGAATAAAAACACTCACTCACGATTGTGCGTGCAAGCTTTCCCACGTTCAGTTGCACACACTCCGATCATGAGTGAAAGAAAGTGTCGTGTAAAGGTGGCTATTCATAAATATCTAAAGGCTCCTCCAGAACACATTGGCCTAACGCGCTCGGCGAGAGTGCTCGGCAGATTTTCATGGTGCCGTTCACACTTTGGCGTGTTTCATTCTGCGTTGGTAGCTAAATGAAGATGGGACGTTGATTGAAAAAAAAACTACACATAAAATAATAATCCCAGTTTGTCCTTTTTAGGGTTCCGACCTCAAAAGGAAAAAAGAAACCTTTATATGATCTACTAGATGACCCGTGCCCGCTTCGCTGGGCGTTTTTTTTTTCAAAATAAAAGATAGCCTAAAAGAAGCCCCTAAGCTACATTATCCCTGAGCAACATTAACTCAGCGATAATTTATAATAATAAGTAACATTAGATAGGTACTCTGAAATCGCAACTAAACATGTATTATTTAATGCAGTTAGGCAAGTTACTAACTTTAGTTTTATTTTTATGTTGCTCATGTTTGGGGTCATGTTGGGAGTAACTGATTCATTGTAATAATAGTCAATGAACCTAAATATTTCCTCATTAGTTCATGTCACCATGTTCGTGAAACAATTTTATTAAGCCGACACTACAGTCTACTTCGGCGCGTAACTATGAACTGAACACTCGGCCAGTCGGCCAATGTGTGATCGTTGTTTGCGGCTTGAGCCAAATTTCTTTGATTTGTGCACGCAAAACCTACACTATTTGACTTGTCGGCGAGTGTTGGCCGCAAACGCCAAATACACACAAAACGGCCTAGTACACGATGGCCGAACGCACTCAGCGAACGCGTTCGGCCAATGTGTACTGCTACCTTAACACGCACGATTTTACTACGCACGCACACATTCGCAAGGGTCAATTGGTCGGCAAAATCGTTGTGGATTGAATTACACACAGAGGAGCGCGCGTACGCGTAGTCGTTGCACATAAATCACATTAAATTTGGGATAGTTTCATATAAAAGAAGAAGCCTTATTTACTTGTATTTTCAGGAACTGCAATAACGGTGTAAAATTATTTACATATTTGAACTTAAATTTGAAATTTCGCTGTTCTTTGAAAAAAACCTTGTACGTTTATAAAGCGTTAGATGATAATAATATAATATGATAAAGCGTTAGATGTCGCTTCCGTCGGTAATCCTACAATATTCGCTGAGAAGAGTACAACTAATGCTAGGAAAGGCTGTAACGAAAAATGTTTAAAACTTGAATTGTACACATTTGTTTATAAACAAATGTGTACTCGGCGCTGGAGACACTGTCATTTGCATTTGGATATTTATATTCACTACACAAATACAAATGTAAAAAAATAATCCATAAATGTTTTTTTTATATTTACGCGTATACCATAATTCATTCAACTTACAAACAATTTCGATAAAACTATTAACAGCTTTACTGAAAAAATAATGAAGATAAAGCGAGGAGCTTAATCAGCAACGGACGTTGAAGAACTGAAGAACTAGGAAAAGGGCCTTGGGGTTTGTTACGAAGAGTCAATTTCAAAATGAAGTCCAGCTATAGCGCAGCACATTTTCCTCGTTATTTTCACAGATTTATTTTAAAAAAATTGTAAAATCTTGGCAACATTTTTAAATATTGTTCGATTCCATTTAACGACGTAAAAATGCTTCACTGAAATCTTTAAAAAAATATCTTTAGTAAGATATATATTTTTGTGTCACTATGCATCATTTTTATTTGAAGGCTATGGAAAATTTTATAAGAACGATATGGAATATTAGATTTGTCACAAAGGATTTGACAAACGGTAGCCGTCGTGTTTCGATTTGATTTCTCTTTAATATTCTTTGTAACTGAATTAAAGTCAAATCATCCAGAAAGTCTCACCCAAATATTGATTTACTCAAGCGAGTCTCTGTCAAGAAATCCAAGCTCATATCCTTAATAATTTAGCGTAATAGTAGAGGCGCGTTTGGTGCTTTGTGTAAAAACAATGGAGCTATATTAAGTGAATAATATTTTTTATTCTTTATATTTATTAAATTATAATGTTATGTTAAACTAAAATAAAGGCAATATGAAATTTATATCTTTTTGGACAATAGAGATACGCTTGCCAGGTCAAAAAAATAGCAAATTCATTTAGTCATTGACGACACCTACCCGTATCTACATAGTAAAAGATGTCAAGACATACTCGGATCTTCTAAGCATAGACTTTTGATTAGTCTAATGTCTAGTGTAAAGTCTAGCCTAGGAGAACAGAACGTCACCGTTTCTATTAGGTACTATAATTTACAGTTTTATAAGTTTTACTATTTTATCACTTTCAGATTTCGTACTTTTATGTTATTGTAATTCAAACTTTTTTTTATATAATTAAGGCTATATTGGAGTTTTACAGGTATTTTATACTTACACAATTTAAAAAATATAAAAACTGATGTTCAACTTGATAATTAAGCTCTTCGCATCTCAGATAACTCACGAGTTAATGAGTACCACTCGTAATTATATATATTCATGTAATTTTATGTAAGTAACTTTTATGAGATATAAGAGTAGTTTCAGAAAATAAAAATCTAAAATACAAGCACTGTTATAAATAGTTGTTATACAGCAATGGGAAAATTGCATACATATCAAAAAAATATTAATAACAAACATCCAGCCGCACTTGATGAGATGTGATCAGATTATATTTATTTCGACGTAAGAAAATAAAATTTGCATATATATAAATATGCAAAGACTTTTATAATTAGGAATTCATCCGATACCGATACTGCTGTCGATATATCGGCGACACTCGAAGTTTGCCGATATAACGGCATAGGCAATATTTTTATGGCAGATTCAACGATACTCTTCAAATTTTGCGCTATAAATGTAAATGTAATGTAAACGCGCGTGTTGTCTCTTCTATTTTAATGCAAACGAGACACTAACTTACTATGCACGGGGAAACCCCACGCTTTATTCAGTGTCATGTTTCGCCCGCCCGCTTTGGCTTTGCACTCGCTTAACTATCCCATTTCGCTAGGTTAACTTTTGTCATGCGTATTATTTTTCATGCAAATAAAATTAAGAATTACATATTGTAATTAGTTTGTGTGTGCATATCATTTAAAACTTGTCATTTGAGTCAAATAAATAGTAGTCATGTTAAGTTCAAAACACCAAAGTGTTGTATGAATCATTTTGAAATTTCGATAATTGATAATTTCATAAGCAATATATTTGCATTGTAAACAAAACGTTTCAAGTGGCATAAATTCTAGAAGTAATAAGTTAAAACACATCAAACTTGTTGATTCACCCGAAGAGGCACCATCGAAGTGAATTACACACCGTTTCAACGTCGAAAACAACTACCCAGAAAACAAAGTGTAATGACGACAACGGGCCACAACGTTAGAAACAGGTTATTCTGGAGGAGATAATCGATAAAAAATCACTTTATAGAGACGGCGATATTCGGCCAAAAGATATTACTCGCACTTTTGCAGAGGAAATATGTGTAGAATTGCAGTCGTTTGATCTCGTGAATAAAGTAGATTTCCAAATATTATTAAAAAAAGCTTAGCCCAAATCATAAAATTGTTTACCGATCCCATATTACTGAAAAAGTCATACCAGAAATTTATCAGTTAGTTCAAGCTAAAGTAATAGAGCTGTTAAAAAGTTATCGCATATTGTCTTAACCACTGACATATGGACAAGTGACTCTTCTTCGCTATCCACTGATTTTATTAGCTCGACAGCTAACGATATCAACGCCGATTTTGAATATCAAAATTACTGCCGTGAGGTTATGCCATTCGATGGAAGTGCTTAAGTCAGGTAGGAAGAAGAAGTTCATAGGAAGTAATTTCTACAAAGCTTTTCAATAAACAACAACAAACAAGACTGAGTTCAAGCAGTAGTTACCGACAACGCTGCAAATATGGGTGTCGCTATAGAGAGATTCAAAAAACCTATGGTGTTGTAACTGTCAAATGTTTGGCTCACTCATTGCAACAGGTAATCAAAGTCAG